AGCTTTTGGTAACCACACTCACATTTTGTAAGGTCGTGTAGACTTTGCCTAAGGTATTACAGTTCCTTTATACGGGCTAGCGATCGGCAATTACTACTAGCTAGCTACTACTTAGTTGTATCATGGGTTATTTGGTATTGCGACTACTGTAAAAGCTTGGTTTGAAAGCAAGAGGGCACTAAGTGCTCACACAACCAATCTCGGAGTTGCATTGCAGCAAGGCAGATTTCACTTGGATTGGCAAAGCAACAAGAAGTACTAGTACTAGGAGAAAAGGGACATGACTACTGCAGGGCTTGGTGCCACTGACACTGGAAGACCCGCTAAAGCACCACGGCAAGTTAGAAGATCTGCAGGAGAGGAGAGAGGCACATCAAGTCAAATGCCAGCCATTCCACAAGACATGGTGGAGGAAGATCAAATTGCTTGGGCCATGCAAGATGGTGGTGGTATTGGTTCTGAAAGCGAGGAAGACAATAGAAAACCAGCAGCTGACCCGCGGTTTGGTACCCGAGATGACGGCAATGAGGAAGCAAAAGAGGAGGCAGATGAGGAAGCCATAGAGGCACTGATGAGGAAGGAAGTGACGACGATTCGCAAGAAGACACAGATGAGAATGCGCTCTGTACCGGATTCTGTATGTAGTTTCCATGTTCATTGGTATGGCATAGGGGACAAAACGGGACCACAAAATTGGTCGGTACCTATGGGGTTGGGAATTTAGGATGCATGCAGGGTTCCAAAATGGTGCATACTGCCACACCCAATGGAGAACCCAGTACATGTTCCACAACAAACACCATCCAAATCCGGGAGCAATGACGTCACCAATCGCCTAGGGACGCATGTCGTTCGGTACCTTCCAGACCTCGCTGTTTTCGCGAGACCCCATTATGCGCTTCTTAGATGGATGCTTTCAAGCAGACAGCTTCTAGGGCAGGTGCAACCACCAACCTTGGCTGGAGATCCAGGTGTCCACCATGTCGAACGACACCAAGGATTCCCAGCTTGGTCCTTCCCGGACCACCCCTCTTCGGTACTCCCAATGCCACCAGGCTTGTGCCGAATGAGAGGATCCCTTTGGCAGCAATGCCATCCAGTCGACCAATGGCTGACAGCAGCAACACAGCCACACTACAGGATGAGCCCGAGGTCCCAAGCACCAAGGCCTCAGTCTCCTCTGCCTCCAAGGCAATGTGGAGTTCACCAGTGTTTGGCATGTGGTTCCATCATGTGTTTGCTTCCATGATGGCCCATAGGATTGGGGCACTCCAGTCTGTGCTGCTAGCACCGTCCCTGGATTTTCGGACGGGCAACTAGACTACGTCCCTGTCTGGTACAGCCCATCCATCCCATCCGTCAAGGGACATGATTGCGGGGCAAGAAGGCCGCTCCACTGAGAGCTTGCCACCGCTGAATTCGGCCTGTGGCAAAGCCACGAATATTTGTCTACATATGAAGAAAACAAACAACAGCTATGATAGCAACCAGCACCGCCGACACCTACCTAGTCTGGCCATGCTGATGAAGCAGGCAACCCCTTTGCCTACCTTTGGTCCAGCAACCAACCAACCAACCATGTGCAAGTCCCTCCACAGTTGAGATTCCCCATCTTGCATTGTGTTCCACTAGCAGCCGATGCTGAGTGGCCCATGGATGTTCCATTCATGGGGCGAGTTTGTAGATAGTTAGTTAGTAACTAGTCGTATATCGTGGCATTCCCATGAGAGTGGATCCATACGCACTCGTGGGGAGCGATAACTTTTAGGAGCGAGAGCTCTGGATCCCGTCAGAGATAGCTCCAACAGCTATGCTGGCCTACAGCTCCAGCATGCACAGTTGGCTTATCTCCAGCAAAGCAGCAAGAAAGGATCGTCCTTTCTACCATAGTTAAGAAAATAGTACGAAAGATTGAGACCGATCCTGACCAGCTTGTAGCCCCTTTGATACCGCAGCAGTTGATACCAATCCTGTTGAGGCCGGGCAGAAGCAGTAGGAGGTAGCAGATAGTACTGTTCCCAGACTGCCACTGCACAATTGAATAACGAAGGCCCCCAGCTCCTGAGGTGAGCTGGCCCAAAGGGTCCAGCAGAGAGCTCTGCTGGCCCTCCTGTCTGACTGACAGGGCCAAGTCCTTGGTTTGGTGCCCACTGGAGGTGTTGGGATACTCCTGAGGCACGACAAGGCTCCCTGAACTGCCTGACTACCGCTGTCCCTGAGGAAGGGTTTCAGCGAGGTCCAGTCCACTACTTGAGTACTGGAACAGAACCTTCCAAGAAACTTATTGGTTATGGCAATAACTCTACGTACTCCACGGTCCATTTCCGGAACACGTGGAAACTTCAGCTAGTAGCTGTCTAGTAGCGTGGAAGCTTTCTACGCCGGCTAAATATCTAGAGCGATGTTTCATCGACAACCTAGTATGACTAGCAGTCATGAGAACCCTGTCTCAATGACTATTCGCGAAGGACTACGTCATGAGTCGAACTCAAACCCTATCTAGGATCGAGTCGCGAATAAGGCTAAGAGCCGTGTATTGCACAATGATTCCTTTTTCGTTGTCCTTCAAATCGTCCGCATCGATTGTTCCATAGGTTTCATCAAGATGGTTGAGGAGTTGGAGTGCAGTGACCTGAGCGTAACCATACAATTCGTGCTTGAGTGTTTTGGTGAATGTGTCGGGGATTGCTTCGAGTAGCTGCTTCTTGAGGGCTGTTTCTGTGGTTTTGTAGACATGGAACCTTGTTTCTGCAGCAGTGAATAGCCTGTTATTTTCTGAGATTTGTGCAGCGGTGGGGGCTGCTCCATGGACAGGTTCTGGACCTGGATGGGCGGGGTTAACCCAAGGCACGGTGTGGGGGAGTGCCTCGAACGTGGCTGCCGGTAACACCAATGCTAGGTGTCCATAATGGCCTCCGCCGAATGTGGAAGGGATTGCCATCGCATTGGAATTGAGCTCTTGATGAATGATCTTGAGGGAGTTGTAGGATGGTTTCTTTTCCGGTGGGATGGATGTGAGGGTGTCCGTCGTGAAGTGGTCAATGGCCACAAAGGATGACATGGTGGACGGCAGCTAGTAGCGTTGTGCTTGTGCTGATGCTTTTCGCGCTGGAAAAGTTCGTCGAGTTGTTAGATTGTTAATAACTGTTGATCCAGGCTGGGAGCCCAGTGAAGAATTAGTTAGTAAAGATTTGTTATTAACAATTATGAGCAAGTTCTGGGTGGATGTCCCCATACTGGAGCACACAGGCTCAGCTGGGGAGGGCCAACTCTCAACAGCTTCTAATGGTTTATGCTCCTAACTGCAGTCCCACACGGAGGGGGAGCCTAAGATGGGCATGTTGGCATTTTGATAGTGACTGGGATCTTGCATGTGACTGAAAGACTTAAGGGTCCATGTGCCAGATCAACAGTTCTGACTCAGTCACTCAAGCACCAGCATCTCATGACGTCATCCTCATTTTTTGATCCTCATCAGCGTGGCCGTGGATCATTGTGTCAATGCCATTGCGGCTTTGCCCATTTTATTGTTCACAGGCACCAAAACAAACTATTAATACCGTACCAGCAACAACCGCCATGATTGCAAACATAGCAACAACTGGACGCAAACTCTTTTTTCCAAACAGTCATCTATGGCTTCGGGCGCGCAAGGAATTGCTTCAAGCTGCTAGGCTTTCTTGGTTGGTGGATGTTGGGCTCACGCAACGAAAGCTGGACGACATCGGCGACGTGTCTTCAGTAAACACGCTGGTACCACAAGAAAGAGTCAACCGTGATTGTTTTGTGCAAGCTGGTCAGAATATCATGGAAATTCAATGGGACGGCCTGACCATTTCTGGAGCAGACGAGCTCTATCATACAGTTTACGAGACGTACGAAGAGTCGACGCTGATTCAATCTCCTCTCTCTGGGATGGTTCTGAAAGTGAACACTCTCGATCCAGACCGTGAAGAGCTGGATGAAGATACTATTCTGCTGCAAATGAGAGTCGATACTGACTCTTTGAACCTGGCCACGAAAAATTTGGTTCAAGAGGGGGAGTACAATGACTTTGTGAGGACGTTGCCACGAGGGCGGTTCCAAGATTCCTGACTACGTTTATAATAGAGTTCAGGAATGCATCATCTTCTGGTCGGCAACAAGCGCTTCAGAGGCTGGCACTGTCGACACTAAAACTGCGGCTAATGAAACGATCGCTACTTTGAAACTTTGTTGTCAGTACTACATACTGCATAACAATCTACCTGTTTTGTTTTCATCCCCAAACGATGTTTTCCAAAGTTTTATGTATCTACCCGGTCAGTTAGTTGGGAATCAATTCTGGTTCGAAGCATTCTTTCAAGGTTGCTCGGCTCCAAATTCATCTGACACTTCAGTCCGCTCCCAAAAGTCTGTGTTGGTGATTTCAGAGAGATCACCGGCGCTACAGGACTGAAATTCGTCGACATTGAGGAGAAGCTGGGAGGGGCTTTTGCTTCTCTGTTTCGGTTTTTCAGTCGGGGAAGTTGATTCGGATCGTAAGGCGCGGCCATGCTTCCGGTCCTTTTGGGGGGCCTTGTCCTTGGGAGATTTGGCAGTCAACGATGGCGAGCGAGTCTTTTCCTTGATGGGCGATGGGCTGCTGTGCAAACCATCAGAAGGTCCACCTGTTTCCTTCCGCTCGGTCGAAGATGGTGATGGCGAGCGAGTCATTTCCTTGACGGGAGACGAGCTGCCGTTCAAATCATCAGGAGGTCCACCTGTTTCCTCCCCTCCAGTCGAAGATGGCGATGGTGAGCGAGTCTTTTCCTTGATGGGCGATGCGCTACGGAGTTTGTCACCACCCAGTGGAGGTGGGAAATCCTTCAGTTCTCGTAGTTCCAACGAGTTGTAGCGAATTCTCAAGTTCTTGCAGTTCTCGAGAACATGTGCTTGGTCAGGGGTGAGGAACGGGGTGATACCCTTCAAAGCTTGCTCGCCGAGCATTGCAAATGATATTGGCAATTCGATTGTGCAACTGCCATCCCGCTCGTTTTTTACAATATCCTTGCAGAAATTCTCTGCCATCACTTCGAGATGATTCAAAAGACCCTCATCGTCGACTGGAGGTTCAAAGAAAGGGCACGATATGAGTGTATTGACTGAGAAACATTATGGGCGCAACTTTCCGCACGTACCGGTCACGACGTGCGTGTGAATCACCAGACTCATTAGACTCATCAGGACTCCAGGGTCGACAATAACCTTGGGATGAATCGCTGCACTCGTGTTGGACCCACGACAGCAAGAAGTGGAAGCCCATTTCCAGAACCAGCCATTCGTATCCCCTTCTTGAAGGCTCTCCATGCCTGCCAGCGACAGGTACATATCATACGCGCTAATGACCTTTCCCCCGATATTGTACGTGATGGTCTCCATCCATCGAAGAGACGAGCTTCCTGACTCTGGCCAAGAAAAACTTTCTCCCTTGCCGCAGTGTTTCAAAAGGAATGCATGTCGCATCATGAGGTTGAAGAGATTGATGTGGAATGCGCACAGAGCTTGCTCTGATAAGTTGTCCTGGTTCATTACGGCAACTTGCAGCTCGCAGCATCGGATTTCAAACAGCGACTGAGCACGATCGTATTGTAACATGTCTGTGTTGGCAAGACAGTAGAGGAAATCCATATTCTCACTGAGGGAATGGACAAGGTCGCTCAGAGGCAATGTGCACTTTCCTTTCCACTTCAGAACATTGTTCAAGACAGGCGAGGAAAATGGCTGCAGAACAAAGCTGTCCTTCGACGTCTTCTGAAGGATCCCACAGTCTTCCAGAGATGCGGCAAATCCATTGATAGCTTCGTCATCACATATGGCTTCACCAGGAAAGAAAAGCTCCCGGAAGACGTCCTTGGCTTCCGTCTTTTTAAAATAGGCAAACTTCGCTCCTTCCGCTGTTGTAGACCATCGCCGCGGTAGCTTTTCCATGAGCTGTCGCGTGATGTCGTAAATGGAAGCTTGGCCTCCGTTGGGAAGCGTCAACATTTGCAGCTCAGGTTCTGCAATGTGGTTCGTCGTCTTCATTGTACTCGTACTCGAAGAATACCCATATCCATCCTTGGAAGGAGATTTCCAAGAGAATGCCCGCGCGAGCTGGGGGCGGATCTCGTCATCTTCCCAATGTAGTTGAAGCTTGTGCGGAGCCTTGGGAGTAGTGATGCAGACGTCGTGAGTTGGAGTTTTGTCAAGGGCGTCGTCGTCGCCATTGGACATTGACTTGGCTCCTTTGACGAGACTAGGAGAGCTGACTGCGGCATCGGGCAAATTTCGTGTGCTCCCGTTGTCATCGGCGAGCAAAGCACGCGTTCGCTTTCGGAAAGACGATAGAGCTTGTTTGTTTGGCAGCCACGAACGAGGTGGCGGAGAGGGTATCGCATCTCCATCTGCGCGAACCGCTTCTCGGCTGTCATCATCGCTATCTTCCAATGGGGATGCCTTCACCAACTCTGCGGATGGTTCTTCTGGGTCGACAACATGAGCAATCAGAGCGGGCAAATCATCCACAACTTTGCTGCACCGTGTCAGCGACTTGGTCCGGAGGGTCCGGAGAGGGTCAGAAAAGTTGGACCCACTACTGGTACTTGACGAATCGTCGGAAGAGGACGGCGCCTCGCTACTACTCGACGACGAATTGTCGGAAGAGGACGGCGCAATGAGATTCACGGCATCGACAGTGACCTCGCCGGATCTCACGCGCGAAGGAGGCGACGGTGGCCGGTCGTAGGAGATGTTGGAAGTGTTGGAGGTGTCCATTCCGGCAGGAGGATCACTTTCGGTGGTGTTGTTTAGTTGCAGGTGCTGGAGCATCCCAAGTTGTGTAGTTTCGAATCGTACTTGGTACCGGTACTTCTGCGGCTGGGAAGCACCAGACGACTCGTCGAAAGAACCCTTGCTGTGGTGGCTCCCCGTATCCAGATCCAGAGCAAACTCCTCGTCTTCGTCTTCCAACAGGTCGTCGTCTGGATAGGAGCGTCTCGGAACCTCGGGAACAGCGTCCTTGCCTTGATTCTTGTCGCCGCGAAGGCTGCCGAATCGCTTTTCCTTCGGTCCTTTCTTGTTCTTGGCACCCTGCGAGATTCCACCAAAGACAGTCATGGGAAGAGGATACTTCAAGGAACTGCCGCTGTCGTGCTGTAGATTCCCCTGGTGGTGGTGGTGGTGGTGATGACTAGATGTCTGGAGCGAAGGAGGAAGGTGCGAGCTCAAGGAATGGAGAGAGTTGGTCGCCCAAGTACTGTAGCTGTCATGACCGTTCTTCAGAATGCCCCTGAGTTTGCGAGTTCCTCCGCTTCCACTTTCGGAACTGCCGGTGTTGCTGCTGCGGCATGTCTTGTGGGGAATCGCCAAGGCCAAAATGTCATCGTTACTCAAGGACTCATCTCCGGACTGCGAATGTAGGCTTCCTCCAAGGTCGTCCAAGAGACCTGCTTTACAAGCGCGCTCTCCCAAAAAGTGGCAAGGTGTGTTTGATCGGTCGCAGGGAACCAACGGCGGCATCAAAAGGGGAAGCTTGGGTGGATCCTTGGCATCGGCGTCGCTCCAACGATCGGAACCATCGGGCATGGCCAGTTCCAGTTCCTCACAGTCTTCACTGTCACTGTCGATGTGACTGTTGTTGCTGTTGTTTGCCAAGCGAGCCAGCTCTCCGTCGATAGCGCTACTAGCGTCCGAGTAGCAAGAGCTAGTATAAGAGGAGTCGTCACTGAGACTAGAGCCATGGAAGGAGTCCAAGCTGTAGTCATCATCGTGAATCGTGCGAATGAAGCGACGATGGCTTGTCTTGTTGAGTTCACTGGCGCCATCAATGTGGACTGTCTTGTTAATGAGGATGCTGTCGTCGTCTTCCTGGTAATCTTCTCCGTTGTGATCAATGCTGATATCATCGACAGTGTCTTCTTCTACTGGCAAGAGTGCCACAGACGAGGCAGCGCTTAGTCGAATAGAGCGAGAGCGATCGGAACCATCAACGGTCCGAGTCAAGGAAAAACAAGACGAAGTCACGGATGTCGTATCTTCTTCTGCTGCCGCGTTGAAAGGCGCAATCTTGTTCCAACAATCCACCGCAGAGTACATGTCAAAGTGGCATTCATCACCAAAGCGAACATGGACTGTGATGGAATGAAAAAAGAACACGGCAGTGAGAGATCCACAGATCAACGGCAACACAAGCCATGGAGCGGTTGTTTCCTCTTCTGCCACTTGTCCTCTTGCTGCTGTACTCACCACCACCATTGCTTTGATCGTGGTTATCCAATTGGCGTTCATATGGAATTCCAAACCGCCGCAAAAATGTCTCCCATTGCTGTGTCTCCTGCTGGCTGGCAAATCGATTGGTAACCAACAGAATGGGCTGTTGTTGTTGTTGTTGATGCTGCTTCTGTGGTTTGGATGCAGGCGTCGTCATCTTGACTCTCCCTTTCTGTCTTTCCAGGAAAAACAGCAACGTTGTGGATTGCTGAATGTGTTCCCAAGGATGATGGCTTGGATAACAGAGAGGAAGATTTTATGGCAGTCTGCGGGAGTCGAGAAGACAGTCGAGAGAAGCGTTGTTTTGGAGAGCTTTTGGAGCCAAATCCAAACGAAAGATCGTTGTCTGTCACCTGTCACACTTCCAGTGCTTGTGAGGAAACTGTGTTTGCAGGGCTTAGTTGGGAGAAGCACGAGGTCTGCTCCTGCTCAACAATCCAGAGTTCCATAGTTCATCCACATTGCCGTCTGTCTTTCAATGGAAGTCACAAGAAATGTTTTACGAAAAGTGTGCTTCCTCAAAGTGCTGGGTGACTTGGATTGTTGGAAGAGTGTGCTTCCAGATAAAACTCAATAGTGCTTTGGAGAGACAGACAGACCTTAGTGAAGTATTTTTGTAGGACAAGCCTTGATGTCTGCTTTCTTTTCTTGGGACGTTTTTGCACGCGACATCTGGCCACACAATTGCCCAGCCACAGGTCATGGAGAACCACTTCATAAGGACAGTGTCGCATGGAATACCCAGCGATACGCATTTCCACGTTTCCACTTTTGGAGTTTGGACGCAGCGACGCAGCACCCCTCTTGCTGTGGAAGCGAGGTGTACAGTCGTACAGAAGCAATGCTGATGGCTACCGGAATGGTGCAACTAACCTGAAAGAGTCCCGAAAGCAATCTAGCCAGCCTTGGTTCTGTGTCTCCGCTGGCCTGAGGTAAAACCATGAGACCAACATGAGTAAGGTGCTGGGCTTGATCTTCCACACTTTGAGAGGATGGAAGGTTGCCTCATGGACGGTTCCAGATTGTGCTGAAAATAGGTACAATTACAGTAGCTGCAAGTACGTGTTCCGAAAGTGAGGGCCCATGGAATTTGATCAATAGGCGTCTCCAAGCGACAGGTATGCTCACCAACCATACTTGCAGGGTTAGCCTTGGGTAGAAAGACCGCTGCAAGGTTAAAAAGGAAGACTATCTATTTTAGCAATAGGAAGAGTTAGAGTGCCAAACACAAATGAGGCACCACTGGAAGTACCGTATGGAATGGCTTTATCTCCTTCTAATGAGTACTTCTGTTCTGTTTCGTTGCTGCTCCGCTGCAAGATCATTGGGGCTTAGTTGTACTTCGTATGCATCGTCATCATCATCAACGTCTTTATCTTCCTCTTGATCAGACGAGTCAGCACCGGTGACAAGATAGACAGCAGCACCAATGAATGCACCTCCCACAACTCCCGCAGGACCCATGGTTTCACCAAGCAAGAAAAAGGCAAACAGAGCTGTACAGATTGGCTGAATAGAGTAGATAAGGTTGGCATCGGTCGGCCCAACTCTTTTCTGGCCAAAGCTTTGAGCGAATATCGTGTAGGCGCAGGTTACCAGCCCTGTCCACAAGGTCGCCCCAACGGCCGAAATGATGGCACTCTTGGGGACTGTTCCGGCCACTATGCCCTTGCTGATTGTCGAGAAAAAGTTTGCAATCTCTGCCCCGGTCTCAGTCACAAAGGAGGGCATTGTGGCTGATCCTGCAAGTGACATCAATGCCAGTACCAGTCCCGAACTTAGCACAGTTTCCACTGTTGCTTTGGCGGCTGCCAGCTTCAAGGGTGTTGTTTCTCTGGCATATCGACCCAGCCGTACTACATGTAGTGTGTACAACACTGCTGCAGATATTATGAGTACATCTCCTTTCGTGAAGCTTCCAAAAGCAGTCAAAAAGGAGGCAATGGATGCCTGCCCTCCTATTATTCCTTCTAAATTCATCACACTAATTCCTGTAAAAGCCAGGAGACAGGAGAACCATGTTCGGGCATTGACTGCCAGTAGATTGCCAGCTAATAGGGCCTCCAGAACAGGGACCATGACAGTTGTCAGCTGCACCAAGAAACCAGCTCTATCGGACGGAACGGTCTTTAGGCCCAACACTTGGAGGCAATTTGCAACAAACAAATACAAGCCCAATTCCAGACCGCCCATAATGGGAAAGGAAGAAAAAGAAGACGATGCTGGCTGCTCGTCCTCCAAGGATGCAGGTGATGTTGACTCGACTTCTTGAGAAATATGTTTGCTTCCTCTTTTGGATCGACTGTGTTGAATTGCCACAATACTCAAGGTTGTCAAGGAAGCAACGGCATAGTAACACGCTGAAAAAACAAAGCCAGGCACAGCAGGTTGAATTTCGTAGAGATATCGAACCACAGGCACATAGGTCCCCCATGCAATGGGCACGGTCAACAGGACTGCCAGCCCTTTGGTTCGTTCCGAGAGAGACAACCACCCGCCTTGACTGTTGCTACCGTTGCGTGTTTTCTCGGAGGAGCTTGACAGGCGTGTATCACAGCGAGACCGTCGTACTGAGTTTCTGCTCTCCAACAACCCGCTCAGTCTCCCTAACGATGAAGTACCTTGTAATGGTCTAATTCCCCGAAGCGATGAAGGGCGCTGCTTTGCTGCCGGTACGAATCCATCGGAATAACATGCAATAGAAAGAATAGCATACACATGAAACAGTTTCATGGTGGTGATTTTTGTACGCTACAGTGCTTTTTTGGTGAAGCAACAATCAATCAATCCTTTGATGAGTGTCCATGCAAGGCCTTCTACGATCTGAACATGTATGTATCGCTTGGGTTGCCATCTGTCGTCGACAACAGCAGGCTGGTGGAACAGATCGGTTCTACCAGACTCTAGTAGCTAGCTAGCTACCCAGTACCGTAGCAGATCTTTTGTGAAAAGGTGGGTGGCTCTCGTGACATCGGTTTGACGTCAGTCACGTTGCAACTGAGTGACGAGTCGAGTCCCCCTTGTAAATCACGAGTTTCAATTCAATTCGAAACCTCTTCCACGCCGTGGAAGCAATTCACTTCGTCCAGCTCAGCAGAGACCATTAGTTCCGTCAAGGTCCTGCGGTGGGGGCTGGTGTAAATCCAGGGGTGGATCCAGGGAGACCAGAGGTAGCGGTACGATCGTCGGTCATGCAGTGGGGCATGCAGTGGTGTTGGTGTATGTTGGAGAAAGACCAGCGTTGGGACCAAGAGTGGCGCCTGGAGAAGAACGAGAGGATCATGGAGTGGGGACGTCCCGAAAGAACCAGAAGTAGAGGCCCTGGAGAAGGACCAGAGTTGTGTCCTGGAGAGGCGCCGGGTATTAATGCAGGTCCTGGGGTGGGCCCTGGAGAAGGATGAGAGGTACCGTAGGTCCTGGAGAGGGGCCCTGGGGTGGTGGGACTTCTTGGAAGGGACGAGAGGTAGGTCCTCTTGGAGTCGGGCCCAGTGAATTGTCAGGAGTGTCTTGAGAAGTGGGCTTGGAGATGGCTGTACCAGGAGCCGGCGAAACAACAATCCTGGCTAGCAAAATAGCTGCTATGGAGGAAGCAATGGCCGTACCAGAAAGCTCTGGCTGTTTCAGTTGTTGAAGGGCAAAAGAGGGACTCCTATGACCAGCTGCGTACAGCCAGCGTGGCTCTGACCCAGAACCCATACCTTGTAATTGCAGATGCTTGACCTGAACCTCGCTGTAAAGAGAGATCCCCTGCCTATGATCAGAATGTGGCGCTGCGTCGTTGCCGGCCAATGTTGATGGCCTCCTCTGCGAGCCAAGACTACAGTATTCAAAGGAGGAGATAACATTGTACTTTCCTGACGTGGTGCCAAATTATAACGACCATCTTTGCATTCTGTAATAGAAAGCAAAGATTCCAAGAGTTCACTCTACGTTGAAGCAAATTCGGCGGGAATTGGGTTGCAAGCGGGTAAAGTGGCTTGTGCGGCCCAGCTCGAGAGCTGTCGTACCACAGCAACCTGCTGCCTGTACCGGTATCATCATATCATCATCTAATCTGTAAAGGCACAGTGCTATTCTGGTAAGCTCGTTGAGTCAGAATCAGCAATCAGCAATCCATGATCACATCCTCGGGTTTCCTGATCACATCTTGTTGTTAGTCTAGCTAGCTAGCTAGCTAGCTAGACAGCTGCTGGGCTTGCGAGCTGCATGCGTTGCTAGTCAGGAAATCCGGGTTTCTTAAAAACAGCAGAGCTACAGCAGTTTGGCTGAGCAAAGTCCTCAATATTTGTGATAACGTTAAACAGTACTCCAGATTAATCATTCATTAACAAATAATGTAATGAGTAGGTACGATATTTGGAATTAAAGAAGGCTAAAGAGTACCAGGTATGCCCAAGAAGCTTCCAAGATTGATGGAACTAAGTTGACTTTGCTACTAATTTAATTATGATAAGACTCTCCAGAGAACCCATCTTAAACTCATTCTGATGTGGCAGAGTAACTGGACCGGAGTCAAATGAAAACCAGCAAAATCAGGGCTGAACTCCCAAACGCAGCAAAAAGCACTGCTGCAGCAACATCCGCTGTCACACCAAACCGCAAAGCCTCTCAATCCGAACTCACAAGCAAACCAATAGCATCAATGAGGACTATACACCAGTCGCCTGTAGTAAAGGTCAAGGCAGCAAGACCTTATGTTGCGGCAAGGCAACGATGGAAGGAAAGAATGGCGACAGAGCAGCAGCGGCGATTAGAGCAACGCGGAAGCGTTTGCTATAGAGATCATGCGGATGCAACGCATGAGCGACACAGCGACGGAGGTCGCGATGATTGTGAAGAACGAGAGCCTTTGATGAACGAGAGCGCTCCACTGCGGTTTTCACAAGAACGAGAAGAAGGAAGATGCGATGGCAGTACGGCCAATTTCACGACCGCAGCAACAAGATTAGGCGACGACAATGTTCGGCCATTGTAAGTATAGTTATTGTTGCGCGCGAAACATTTCGAAATTGATTCACGAGTTGGGTCCTGAACTTACCTTTGCCGTTGTTATCTTCTTCAGAACTTGTCGAGTAATGGTAGACAATGATGTACAGAAGCCTGGACGCATCAGCCTTGCAGGACTTGTCAGAAACAAGCCCGGTGCTCTTTCCTCCTCCACTCCCAACCCCGGCGATGTAACCTCCATTGATCGCCGCATGCAATCTCTTGCCGTTGCCCAACAGCAGGCACGGAAGCATGCTCAAAAGCTAATCAAAGACAAGTCGGTCGCGACCCGGCGGCGTATACTCATGAATACTCTTGGGATGCAAAAATTCTACAAGGCTCTCGCGTTGATTCGAGAAGTCAAGGGTATCCGCGAGAATCTGCTAAGATCCTGCGCTGCGGAAGATCCTCTCTCCAAGTCCGCTGCTCGCGGAAAGATTCGAGTTTGCAAGCAAAAGTTCGAAGCGCTGCCGAAGCCTGGACGAGACCTTTTGTCGAAAACTGATCTTGTGGCGTCGTTGGAGCGAACCGAACTGGATCGATTGGGAAAATTGCGATGGGATGAATTGATACAGCAGGCACAAGAAAATCTGTTTGCATACCGAGAATGGGTATCCATCTCTGAAACCAGAGAGTAAACTTATTCACATTTTTCTTCTTCTAGATACAATATTATCGTAGCTTGGCAATTGTTGCGTTTCCATAGTGATAGCGTTCATTCACATCAAACACAGTACATGTAGCTACGCGCGAAGGGCTATCAGTGAATATGTATCGCTACAGTAGTGGAGAATTCGGAAAGAGGCAAGTACAGCGTAGCTCGGAATACCGCAAAAGGGGCACTACGCGTTGTTGCGTCTTTTCCGTTCCTGAATGATTGCATCCATCGAGGAGAGATTGTCACATAATTGCTTGGTATTATATTATAGTTTTTTATTAAAGCGTGCAAATAATGCCGGCTGCTCGTTTATCTATTTCAGGTTTTTAACTTCTTGAGATATCTAGCTATAGCTACGAGCTTTCGGAGCATCATGCTCATTCGTTTTGAGTCACCATTTCCTTCACAGAGTCATACTTGGCTTTGTCGTCCTCTGTCATGAGCTTTTCCACCACCGACAAGTCCTCCTCCGTGACATCGCCACCGCGTACTTTCAAAACACCAGCTGCAAACTCTGCTGGTTTCCCATCGGTGCGAAAGTATTCCGGGGCATCCAAGAGAAACGTGAAGGAGAGAACTTCTTGCCGGACCCAATATGCCACAATTGATGTCAGCAACGAACGTGCAAGAGGCGCGTCGATCTCAAGGTCCCTGAGGAATTCCAATGGATCCTTCAGTCCCAATGGAAGACTCGAGTTTTCAAGCTTCTTTTGTTGCAGACAACGCTTAATGACGGCAAGGAATTTTTGAACTTCTTGCTGCTTCATTTCCAACACGAGTAGAACACCAGCTTCAATGACAGCTGCGCCACGCTCCACAGAACCATGGCCTTCGTTGTCCCTACCAGCACCAACAAGTTCGTCAATGGAAAGAATGGCATCTGTGGTGTCACCTCCGATGAAATACTCCTTGAGGATGGTCTTTGTTTTGTTGCGGCATTCCTCGGGATCTGGAAATTCCACAATCTTGGGTGTGGCATTGGAGACATCGATTTGGGAAATGACAGTCTTGGAGCGATTTGTAGGCGAGGATGGAACAGGGGAAGATGGAACGGGGGACGACGGAACAGGGGCAGGCGGCTTTTTTCTCTTGGGTTGCGTCTGTCGCTTATTGTAGACACCGGAAAAGCCATCATCCGAGACAGCTCTCCGTATATTGGCCCGCTTCGGCGGCACCGCCGTGAAGCCATCGGCATCTTTCAGCGGTTTGCTCGAGTACGGTGAGCTCATTTTGTAATCATCACTATTGACACGACGACGCGAAGACCGGCCGCCATTCGACGAACCGCCCCAGTCATCGCTGTAGCTTCTGCGGAAAGCCGCAGCTTCTTCTTCTCGAACTTCCTCGTGAATCTCTGCAATCGTTTTTGCGTTTTCTTGCTTGCGACGATGTTCCCAGCCTAGACGAAGCAAACGTTGAAAACGTATGGAATGAGCAAAATTTATACATTCGAATGTCATGGGTCATCGTACAACAACCCTGCGAAAATTCAGCGGCGGCAAACACAACAAACAATAACCTACCATTCTCTTGCAGATCCAGGAGATCCACCAACATGAATTTGATACGACTGCTGATTTTGGGTATCGGCTTGTCTTCATCAGCCTTTTGCTCTCCTCCTCCACCCTCTTGTTGCGCCGATTTGATGGACGACATTTTCTTGGACCTTCCAGTCAAAAGATAGACCCGATCCCAACATTGGTACCATTTTTCTTCTGCCGTGGGATGGCACTTTCCTTTCTTGACCAGACTTTCGGCTTGTTCTCCCACCACTGTCATTAATTTGGCAAAGCATTCGAAATCGTCCTCGTCTGCCTGTTCTTTGTGAAAGAGCAATCGGCTCATGCACCAAATCATGATATCGAGTTTGATGAGACCCAATTTGAAGAGTTCCCCCAAGAATTGGACATGACCCTTGTACTTTTTGCGCAATTGCAGTACCTGATAATCCCGATCCATATCTTCCGTGGCGGTGGTATTGGCGGATGCGTCATCCATGATTTGTTTCCCGCTTTCACCAGCCGCCGCCAATGCCGCTGCCTTGGCTTCGAGTCGTTCGTCCAAACGAGCAATATGCCATGCCGTGTCGTGTTCGAATTCACTTTGACAGTGTGCGAGTATTTTCTTTTTCCAGTGCTTGTTGCGTTCGGCTAGATTCTTGCATAGCTGCGCGTACATGGCACTGAAATGGGGTTCGGTTTGTGATTTTTCCACAATCATGGTCAAGATGGTCACTTGCATGGGCGACACGTCCATTGCGGGTTGTTGTTGTTGTGGTTGTTGTTCGGGTGCGTTGTTTGCTTCCTCTCCACTATTATTATTATTTTGTGGCTTGTTGACAATGGTCGTGGGTGGCATCAATTTGGCGACATCTTCTTCCAATGTTTGAAACAAGATGGGTGTCAACTTATCGATGGTAGTCCAACTGAGTTTGTTGAGTACCATGAGTGTTTTCCGGAGTGGATTCATGTCTTCATCGTCGACAACGACAATGGCCGGAGTTCCTTCCATAGCACCTTCGACTACAGTCGCCGACCCCATAAAGATGGACCCCCCCAAACTGATATCATCGCGTTCGGACGCATCACCTGTTTCATTGGTGACGACAGACGCCGATGCCGACGCCAGAGTGGCATCACCCAATTTACTACTCTTGATGCGCGTTCTCTTTTTGAGATGGAGTGGAATGGCATTGGGATATTTGGTCATGATTTGTTGAATTTGTTCACATCGTCCGGGGTCATTCCAGAGACACTTGTGATGTGGATTCCAGACATCGATATCCACACCTTCTTCTGGACATGTGGGAGTATCTAGATGCGTCAATCGAGCACGCATCAGAACGTCGACATGAAGTCGCACGACGTTGCGTTGAGGCGGTGATTTGCCATCTCCCTGCGTGTAGAGTTCCACATCGTACGCCGTCAAACGGGATGTGGATCGTCGGTAGAGTTCTCGTTTGGCAGCTGCGTCGTTGGCAGCAGCATTGTTGTTGTTATTGTTACTGTTGTTGTTTCGATTGTTGTTGTTATTGTTATTGTTGTTGTTGCCATTCTTGGCATTGAAGGATCCGTTGGGACGAGGTCTATGGAAACTGTTGGCTCGACGCTGGACGTTGCTAGTGTTTCGGTTGTCGCTGGACAGTCCATCAAAACTGCTCGCACTGCCATGTAGATTTTGGGAGCTATTGTTGTTTCGACCCTTTTTGAAGGAACCCGTGGCACGAGGTTTGTTTCTATCGTCCTTGTTGTGGTTGCTGTTATTATTTCGAGGACGCGTAAACGACGACGTTGGATTCATGCGGCCACGAGGAGTGTTGTTGTTGTTATTGCCTTGCTTCTTTTTGTTGCTGTTGCCAATTTGGGTAAAGCCGTCGTCATCTGGAATGAACGGTTCTTTGGGATCATGAGAGGCAGATCGTCGTGCCGGTTGGCCGCCTCGATTATTGTTCCTTTTAGGACTCGCCGGAGCATTCCCAGTACCACCGCCACTACCGAAACTGCGGTTCCGGTTGTACTTGTTCTTGTTGTTGTTATTGCCTTGACCCGACTTCATCTCGTCGCTCTTCTACCGTACTGAAAAGGATTCGATCGTGATGCTCGGCTTCGTGCTATGCGGTGAGAATGCCTCTTGGGGCTTCGCTTTCCTTGATGATCTATCTCTGCTGGTGTCGAAGATATCAACCGCAGTACTCTGATTACTCGTCCTCTATACTCCTTCTATCCATGCACAAACAAGGTGGTACCGTAATGTCTATCTATGATGTTGATGCGCTGCTCATTGACGTCCAACAGATTGATGACTGTCATGGCATTATTTGGAAGGGTCGCTTGCATGGATCTGAGGTTCCCGGAAAACCCGAAAGCAATTGCAACGGTTGCAACCAAGCAGATACAAGTTTAGGGTCAAGATTCAATCAATCATTCGTTGGACTTCCTCTGATTGGTTCGCCACGTATGATACGTACCGTACCGTACTGTACCGCCATTGTGCAAGATCCTCTGCCAAGCTGATCGGTCACAATGGCGCGACCAAATTATTCATAAAACTGGCTATTTTTTGCGGACTTCCAACTGTTTTGGCTATTTTGACTGATTTTTGTGATTCACCCGCACAACCGACAGTAAACGCGAGTCGAGTCGAGTCGAGTCGAGTCTAGTTGTTAAATCTATGAATACATATCGGTCCCGTTTTGAAGATTTTTAAGTGGATCTTTCCTTTTCATTTTGCGGAAATGTGATGGAAATGGCGAATTGGCGGAAAACGAATTTTTGCAACACTTCGTTCCGATTACCAGTCACCGCTCCAGGAATACAGGTTTAGTCTAGCTAGTTGATGGACCTACCGTAGCTACACTTTTAAACTTATCCTCACACTTTGGGGGTGCAGCTTTAGAAGTGCTTAGCTTGTCTATTACCTGCCCCGTTTCTGTGGACGCATTAGCACAATGGCCACAGCTTTCGATCGAGAGCCGTCTAGACCAGAGTGCATTCAACTACCAGATACCCTCAGGAATTATTTCAAGCCCTGCGTAAGTCAGCTTGGACCTTGGGAGGTCCTGGATCCATGGAGTTGGCCTTTTGTGCGTATGTACGTAGTGTACCCTGACCACTTTTTGCTACATGTACCAGTACCATAGTGCATTTTTTGATAGTTTTTTACCCTTGTTTTACAGAAAAAAATTCAAGTCAACTTTCAGAGCTTCCGTTAAATCCTGCTGAGTTCAACAAAGGCATTAAATGACTTGCTTCCTCCAACCTCTTCGCCGGAACTCATTTTTCTTCTGTTTTTGTTGAGGTCTTCACCGAGCAGCAGTGAACTGAAAACGGTAACAAAAGAAGTTCACCGCCCTCTACTAGGCGTATCTGCTTGCCAGAGAATCAGAGCGCTCGCTGTAGAGACTGCAGACTTTTTTTAAGGAGACCACAGAAGGACATTCCATTAAAAGAAAGATTCGATTCAAATTCATCCACCATGACGACTTCCTTTGAACGCACCGTCGGTCCAAAGGCAGATTATCAAGAACTCGAGTACATTTCCGCCTTGCATCAGACGGGCGTTACTGGGACTCGGACAACGGGTACAATCAGTTCTCTTGACGTACTGAGATTTTTGAAGTCGCGACATTCCATCGATATCACACATGAACAGGCGATTGATATTGTGCGAGGACTCGGTGGAGTCGGCGGCGCCGATGGATCCCCCGAACTGAAAATGAGTGTGGCACGATCAGTAGCGGAACGCATTCGAAGTGAGCGCGAACAGCAGCGGTTATTGGACGAACAAGCCGAGATTCATCCCCACTTGAAGTGGACATCCTTAACGTCGTCAAAGCCGCGTGCATCCACGAAATCCGCCGTCTCGGCCGAGGCATCCGATCGGAATACATCCCCGAAAGACGTCGATGAAGGAAAAATGCTCGTGGAGGAAGTGCTGAACCCAAAATTGCGCTACCTGGATCTTGTTCAAATGACCAGTATCATTCTCATCCCTACCTTGGCCCGAATGGCGCAAGAGTGGAGACAAGCAAGTAGCAACAACCACAGCAATCTTGGTAATGACGAGAAGAATCAGCAGGAAACAAAGGACGAAGACGACAAAGAAGAAAATGGGACAGCAGAAGAAGACTTTGCGCCTTTGGATCCTCAGCCGAACGGATTGTTGGAATTTGTGCTCGAAAACATGATACGCGTCGTTGAGGCTCACGACAGCGACAATTTCAAGGGATCGGTATTGGGAGAAGATGTGGAAGTGCTCTATAAGGATAGCAAATTGTCTGACGATAGATCTGACGAAAGAAAAACTATTCTTACCCCGGACCTGGTGGAGGCATTGCTGCTCGAAAATGGGGAGACGGAACGAGCCCATGACACAAAACTAATCCGGGAAATGGTTGAGATGGCCCAATCCAAGTCGGGTACCTTTGATGTGGAAGCATTGGCTAATGCTCTGACCTTGGACTTGCAAGACTGGAACGTTGGCTGCGAAGATCGTGAATCTACTTATTTTTCCGACGTCTTTGGACAAGCAAAAACCGACAATGAATTCAATGAATTTATCACTGGCGTGACCGCTGTAGATTGGGAATCGACACGAGCATCGGCAAAACCAGCTTCGAAGGGGGCTGCCGTTGACGATGCTGTGTCGAACAAAAAGGACCACGATGGCGCGTCGTCTGATGATCAGTCGTCTTTTCCAGCCTCAGTAATGAAGGATGAACCAAGCACACCCGACGGAGAGGAAGAAGCAGCGCCACCACAGCCAGACTCTAGCATGATCCAAACGAATGACATGGCAGAAATGGAAGCTTCAGCCACCCCCAGGGCAAAGGAACTCAAAGTGAAAGGATCTGCAAAGGTCATTGATACCGTGGTGGATGCGTACGCTTCCCACGGCACGTTGGCGCTGGTTTGGGTCACATACGTTTGTTATTCAGGTTCCTACGCTTCGTTGATCTTGCTCACAGATTCATTCCAAACAGAATGCCCTGGTAGAGGACCGCATGAACGGAGTTTCGGATGTACACTTGGAAAAACAGTGTATACATGGATTATCGTTGCACTCATATTGACTGGTTTTGGTTTCGCTGTGCTGGTCCCGTTGGCGTTCGGGAACCACCCCACAAAACGAGGACCTATTCGGATGTTCGTGGCGTCGGTTATGGCTCTAGTGATCACGCTGTAAGTCTGACCTTCACAATGACATGCTCGATGGGCATTTCTTGAAAGTGCTGTGTTGTCTCACTTATTGCTTCCAGGGTACCGTTTTGCGTTGTATATCGCCTGCAAAATTCGGACGTTGTTTTGTACGGACCGGTTCAAGAGCAGCTGGACAGCGACTCCTTCTACTATTTCGTCTATTTCACAACAGCCCTTGGTTGTATGCTAGGCTTGAACTATTTCGCGCACTTCGCAATTTCTTTTGGGAAAAAGTTTGGCCTGATTGAGAAAGACAACAACAAGCTATCTGAGAGCGGCACCGTTGGAAGGATCATTGGGCAGTTCGATACATCGTCGGAGGTCTCTCGCTCGGCAAGTGTTAAGAGAGCGGCTACAAGGAAGGTAAACGTTATGTTGACCAATGCTCGTCAAATGCACGGACCCGCTTTTGAAGAAGATAAGGTTCCTTTGCCCGATGCTGCTGCAAATGATCCAGAATCCAGGCGCAGTATCAAGTTAGCCAAGTCCATTCGAAAGGCACAAAGTGACGCCGTGTTTCAAAATTTCACACTACGCGGTGAGAGGACGGTGGAGGCGGGCTCGCTGCTGTGGTCTTGGGGAATGATGCTATCTGGAGGCCTCTGGGAGGTCGAAGGCATTTGGCTGCCTTCTCGAATGATCATTTTTCAATTGGCACAAGTTGCCATTGGTGTGTTCTTCGCTGTTGCTATCTTTATCTTCGTCGAAATCGCAGCCGACGCAGCTGACCAAGCGACTGCAGAAATTGAGAGCAAGATACTGAAACAAGTGTATTATCCGTGAGTTATGCGGTGGGAGAGAAAGATGAGATTTCAGTGTGGCGCGCGGCATCTGTGAAGTGATGACTCGTTTCTCATGCTTTCTATTGCTGTGATATGTAGCCAATGGGTGATTAGTTTTGTTCCAACTGGTGGGGAGGTGAAAATGGCCTTGATACCCGCTGGAATCATTTCAGTGCTTGTATGCTTCGCTTTGACGCTTATTTACATCCCAAGCACCGTGAAGACTGTTCTCCGGTATCGTTGCGGCCAGCTCCCTTCACTCGGGGCGGAGGATTTTCATGGGTCGCGTGCAAAAGCTGACATGGTGAGACATGTTGATCAGGGCCATCGTGATTAGGGAATTCTTACTGTTTCACCTTTCTGACGATCTCCTATTGAACGTTCGATCCCAGACATACATGAACACTGCGAATGCCATTTATGGCATGTTGGCTGGAGGCACCTTATTTTTCGTACTCTTCGGTCTGCTGATATTTTTCTTCATATGGGATTTCACTCAAGACGTCATGCTTCTGATCTTGGCATGGGGGATTGGCTTGACCATCACGACGCTTGTCAAGTCGTTGATGGTTTCCTTTTGCCGCAAGCGCTTGTTCCGAGCGTTTTATCGGGTCTTCCCTGGTCGGTCAAATTATGTAACACTCGCTCTGGAATGTTGGTACATTGGGCTTGGTGGGGGAGTGTTGATCGGTCGCTTGACGCAGTTTCTACTTGCCTCGGCCTTTTGGATCGGGCGGATTGACGAGCCCTTCCTTGCGCCAAACGTGAACCTACTCGGGTACAAGTTTGACTATGTGCCTTTGAATTATAGGTGCGTTTACTTTTGAGAGAACAGAGAGAAGTACCGTACCCACAGTGCCGTTGCCTCAACCTTGTTTCTTGGCCATCGCGACGCTCAGCTCTGAGATTTTGATTCACGAGGCTCACAGGCACCCATTCATCGAGCGATTGGGAACCATGTATCTGATGCGTCTCCGATACCCCAATTTCGGAAGCAATGCGGGGGCTTGTTGGCGTCAGTTGTTCGTCATCACGCTGATGCCTTGGCTTATGAAAAATCGAGTGTTCTATGAGCAGCGTGCCATCGAATCCATCCATGACCAGAAATCTGAACTAGAGCTTGAAATGGATGAGGACAAGCAGTATTTGGAGATCGCAGGAGAGCTGCTGGACGTGGGAGCAGACCAGGCGCTGACGTTTGGAAAATTCGGTTTGGGAACTGTGGACATTGGCGCCAGAGCCGTCGGGCAGGTTGGAATGGGTGCTGTTGAAGGTGTGAAGACGGTAGGGAATTTTGGAGTGGACACTACCGATACCACTCGTCACGATAATATCAATCGTCGCCATGAGGAAGATCCTTTGGGCATTAGCGCTGTGTCTGTGTGAAGAGGGACACGCGCGCTCGTGAGTCGAGTCATGGTTCATGGAATACTTCCCGGTTACCGGTAGACAGTCGTACCTACCGGTACCGTATTACCAATATACAACCCCACTAGCATAGTAGAGGGTATGTGCAAAGGGGGAGTTGTATCGACTGGTGGGACTTACCCCGTAGTCATAGTAGACCAGTCACCCCCTCTTAGGCCTAAGTATGGCAATCTTGTATTGGGGTATAGAGATACGCATTGGACATTGAGAGTATTTTGCCGGGGGAAACCAGGCATTTGAGGGTATCCGATACTACTCAGAATCGCATTGGTAGTTGCATCGGCAACCCCAAAATACAACATTTCGCCTAAGTATCTTTACCAAAATACAACCTCAATCGTACGAAGAACAACTAGTCACACACAAACGTTCCGCGAAACTCAAAGACTTATTGTCCCGGAACCTCTCTCTTAAGCCTGAGAGAGGGTAAACGCCCAAATCTACCCTCCGAACCAACGCATGTATCCCACGAAGGACAATGTACCGAGTCTACAGGTGGCTACAGGATCCTTGGCCGTTGGAGGCTTGGTCGATTTTTCATTCTTCCTCTGTTTTCAGCCACAATTTTCGAAGGAGCCAAGAAGAGCGAAGCTATCGCTATTTTGTTACTCATGCATCGCACATCGCTACTTTGTTTACTCGCTCTTTTGTTCTTCACCATGGCGAGGGCACGCAAGTCGCTCCCACAAACCTACCGGCCGTTGGTGGCCAGATTCATGTCATGGAAGCATCGATGTCATTATGATGGGCAGCAAGGGTTTACACATGTACGTTTCGCTCCTTCGCCAAATCTGTTATTTGTCATTCCACGATTTTGCTTTCGCTCACACCATGGTCGCTCTTCTTCATTTTTTGTTCTTCAGAACCAGTTCCTTGCTATTACACCCACTTCCTCAACTTCCTGGCCTATGGAAAGACCAATCCTGGTCCCAATGATCGTCCCACCTACAAGAGATCTTCCACTCTTGACCAGTACAAGAAGGCCATCAGCTACTTCCATCCCAACAAGCATGCACCATGGGCGGTTGGTCCCAATGTTGGGAATCCAACTCGCTCCACGAACGTCAATGGAGTGATCAAAGCTGTGAAGAAGGCGGAGGTCAGAAAGCAGGGAAGGAAATCCAATGTCAAGCGAGATCTCAAGCTTCGAGAATTCCGCAAGACCATTCGGATCCTGGAGCGTGATGGAGGTGCCAACATTGACCTCACGATCAAGACTCCCACCATGATGAATGTTCAGTTCCACATGATTGGTCGAACTGATGATCTGACCAACATGGAGACTTTGGATTTTCGCAGTCACTCCACGTTTCCAAACATCGCTCTCCAAACCAAGGTCTCCTGGAGCAAGAACGTCCAGGAGGAGCGTGATTGTCCTGACCAGATTATCTTGGGTGCCGCTGACCCGGATTTCTACACTCTGGTTGCCTTGGCTATTTGGATCGTGACTCGGCTTGAGAGGGGACATGGAGACCCGAAGTTCCTTTTCGGTCACTACCGTGTTGACGATGGAGAAGTGTTCCTTGCCGCCATTGAGGCTCTGGACAACGACGAAGAACTCGATGAAACCAAGATCGAGACGGAGCCAGATCGAGTCAATGCATGGTACCAACGTGTCTTGAAGAAGGCCTGGAAGGATCCTGAGTTTGTGGAGCTGGCGAAGCAAGTGCAGGGTAGCCTTGGTACCCACAGCCTTCGCAAGCTGCCTCCCACCTATGCAGCCGAGTGTGGCATCACCCAAGCCGAGAATGAGACTCGTGGTCGCTGGAAAGGCGAGAAGAATGGCCATATTGTCCATGTCTACATTGGACTGGAACAGTTGCCGACCGACGCCAAGGTTGCCGGAACTCTTGCTGTTGGAAGCCCCGTCAAGTACTCGATCAAGGATGACAGCAGTGTTGACCATGGGTTCATTGGCAAGCATGTCTGTCTGAAGATTTGTGACTTCTTCGCTGACGCCCCATCCAACAACCTACCGATGGTGCTTGGTCTAGCTTTGCTTTGGGCCGCGATGGAGCCTGGCTTGGAGCATATGGTGCCGGCAGACATTCGCAACCGCATCCAGACTGAGTATGCGCAGCTTCGGGCCACTTTGGATGAGGATCCTGGGGCCGACTACAACCCAGTTGCCAAGATCCCTCTGACAATCTACAAGGTAGCCAATGCATTGCACATTACTGAGTTGGCTCCCACCGCCGAGGTCCAAGCTGGCACTGAGCCCTTGGTTGGAGGTGCTCCTGGTGGTGTCAACATGGAACAGCTCAACCAATTGCTTGCTCTCCAACATAGGACTCAGCAGGCGATCGAGGAGGCCCAGCAGATTCTTGCACAGGACATCAGCTCCTTGAGGGGCTATGTCTCGACCAACATGGCCATCGTGAACAAGAACATCGGGAGGATCAACCACTTCCAGTTGATCGCGAGGGGTGGTGGCAATGGTGCTCCAATGCTTCCTCTTCCTGGTGCGGCTGGTGGAGCTGGCGGCGGTGGTGCTGCGGCGGCCGACGGAGGACTTCCCCCCCCCACCACCACCACCGAGTCCTCCTCGTGGCCAAGCTCCTGCCGCCGCAACCCAGCCGGCGCAGCTTTCGAAGAAGCCCTTCAACCTCTACGAGTTGTGGGATGAGTGGATCAAGGGGCTAAATGGCAACAAGCCCGCTTGCGAGTTTACTGCTCGTGAGCGTGGCCGCGTCAAGGACAAGTTCTGCCGCCGCAAGCATGTGTGGGACTGTGTGATTCGGTTGATGGCCAAGGGCTTCGATTGGAGGGCTGCGGTCGACCGTATCTATGCCACCTACGGGTGGCTTACGGTCACCCAGATCATCAACAAGTTCAAGCAAGACAAGAAGAATCAGCCCATCGGCATCCACCCACGCTTGCGTTGAGCTGCCTTGGTGGTCCCCAGCCTACAGCGCGATCCTGTTGTAGGCATAGCATTTTTCGTTCGTTCCCAGGACTTTGCGTGTTTCGAGCGACTTGCAATCTTTTGCTTGGATTGACTTCTTCTTCTGTTCAGTGATTGATCGATCCTATGCGTCAGTGTGTTTTCGAAAGCCTTCGTTCATACCAGTGTCGATGTTCCAGTGAGCCTGCAGGTCGTTCACATGTTCCAGTGAGTGGAGAAAGGCAAAAACACCGCAAACATAAGGAAAGACAGGGTAACACGTAGAGCCTGGTACTCCATGTACACGGTTGTATTCCTGGTTTGTCAGGGAGCAGATACCTTTACCGTAGTACTCCTACAGATTTTGCACCTATTATTTTCAGAGCGTGTCCCACCTCCGGCACGCCGTCCGATCCGTCAAACATGTTGTCCACAGAAGATCAGAATGGATGGAAACTACACTGCTGCCACTCACTTTTTCCCTTCCATCCTGAACTTCTGAGGACAAATCAACCATGAGCGAGCCTTCACATGAAAGAGAGCAACAACTCAAGATAGCATTAACCAATCTTAGTGTACGGATATAACAATGTAGCCAAGCCGTAGCGAAATTCACTTTTGATCTCCTTGATTGATCGACGATGGACTTTTCGTTCCTTTGCCGTCGTTTTTGAATTATACAATGAGTAGCGCGGCAAAGAAGAAGGCCGAGATAGACGAGGCCGTGGGCGATGCAGCAGTACTGCTCAAAATCGCCAAGAAAGGCGGTGGGATGACTGCGCACTCAGCTCTTCGATTGGTGGGAGTGTCAACCAAAGATAGACAAAACAAAGCTCTTCAAAAGCGCGTTCATCGAGCAAGGGACAAGCTCCATGATCAACAAAAGAAACTAACAACTGAGTTTGATCAAATGGAGTTGGCGGAAGAAGATCATCCATTTCCGAGCTCTCAAGAAAGTGTCATTCCCATTGTTCCAAGACTCCCCAAACAACTGAACATGAGAAAGACTTCCAAACAGGCTGCTGCCCAACGCAAAGCCAATGTCCAAGTCAAGGACCTGAAAGGCAAGCTGTTCATGGAGGCGTGTGAGGCTGTCAAGGAAGAGAATGAGAAAGAGCAATGATTTCTGGCCGAAGGAATGGCGTACCGAAAGAAGTCTTCTGAGGCAATCTGCGGCGAGATCAATGCAAGACCACTCGCACAGGCACACGATATCAAGATTGTTGCACGCAGTGTTCGCAATGCTATTCAAGAGAATCGTGTGCAATTGAAGAAGCGTGGAGAGCCAGGAAAGCTAGATGCTGAGTATTTTCGAGCTCTCTGTGATGCTGTGAAGTCATACAGTCTCCTCTCCGTGGCTGGAGGATGGAAGCAAGTGACAAACCTGCGGCCAAAGCTCTTCAAGATGACGAATGCTTGTGTGAACAAGCTTGAGGGTCAAGGCAGCCGACAGGGAAGAAAGCTCTTTGAGCGGGTGGAAGCTGTACTTGCTGGAGAGCTTGACGTTGGCAAGCCAAACCGAATTGAGCAACGGCGCCAGCAGTATGCTACTTATGCAAATATTAATCAGTGATACACTGGCTTCAAAGAGTTTCTGATTAACAAAAGATTTGCTACAGCAGCTCCATGTGGGGAAGAAGGCAAGCTTGTGTTTGTCAGCAGTGACCAAGGCAGCCACATTGCCAATCTAGATCAGTCTGCTCTTACTCTTGATGATACTGAGAACGGAAAGGGAGGGAGACCTGCCTTGGGATTCTATAATCCTCGCACATCAGCTGCTCCAACTCATGGTGCACACAAAAGTTCTTGGAAATGCACTCTTGTTGCCGGTTGCTTTGCGTCTGGAGAGCCCTTTCCTCCACACTTCCAGCTTCCAACAGACGCAAAGGATCCAGACAATGAAGGTATATACAGTGAATTCATTGTGGATATGTTGGAAATCGTGGATTCCTATTGCGGTGATGAAGATTCCAGTTGGATGGCTACATACACTGTCAATGAGAAGGGAAGCATGACCAAAGAAGAGTTTGGAGAATACGTCTTGAAGAACTTCCTCTCTCTTGTGGCCAATGACTGTGCTGATATCCCAGGCAAAATGATCGTGTTGTTGGTCGACAGAGGCCCAGGTCGAACAAATGAAGACATGTTGGCCCAAACGAGAATGCATGACGTGTATTTGTTTCCCTCTGGCCCTCCCAATACGACGCATATCACTCAAGTGAGTGTATATGAGTAAAACAAACTATGCTGTAATGTGAACTGATTATCAAGTCTGTGACGTTTAACTATCATATCTATCTCACAAACAATGTTGGTTCTCTTTCCATCCATTTCAGATTCTTGACATGATTTTTGGCTTGCTGAAAATAAGATACTTTGAAAATCTTGAGAGACTCTGGGAATACCGACAAAACAACATCAACGCCGCCTCGTCCATCACACGAAATGCTATTGGATTGCTGTTCTTTGGTAGTGAACACAGTCGGAAACGAGGCAGAGGCAGATCCAAGCTTTCCTCTGCTCAAGAACAGCTTCCAGGAAGCTTTTGCCATTGTCAGAGTTCGCAAGTTTTGGAGCCAAAGACTGGGTGTCTATCCATACTTTACGAGAGCGGCGTTGAAGAGCAAACATGTCCGCCATGAGGTTGTTGTTACGGCTGGATTGGCCGATACCGATGTGGATCCGGAAGCCCAACATCTCTGTGATTTGAATTCTCTTAACCGAAAAGCCTATGACATCCTTGATGCTGGAGGCTACAATGGATCCCTCTTCCGAATGCAACTGAGCAAATTCAGCACTGAAGAGAGGCAGAAATTCATCACGAGACCTCACACTCGAGCCTGGCAGCCAGGATGCCTTTGAAGAAGAAAAGGTTGGCGGTGGCAAGTTCTTCCTCAGAACTGGTGGAGCTGCTCTGAATGATGATGATATGTTTGTTGCCATCACGAGAAGGAAGCTGAAGCAGCAACTCAAGGAGGCGGAGGCCTCAAAGCAACAGAGAAATGAAGCAGCTCAAAGACAGTTGATTGCTGCACTACGCTAAAAGCTAGTGTAAAGATCTTTCGAGTGTTTTGAGTTTGAGAGAATGAAAGTTATGAGAGAGATTACTACGGCTACTAAAACAATTGTCCCCGTGTCACAGAAATTTCACAGAAATTGATCTCATGTAGAAGTCTGTAGAAAGAGTACCAAGCAAAATCAAAAAATGGTGTCATGAAAACCATGATCTCGTGATTCAGCATCGAATCGTGCACAATTCCTGTTTCCTCCGTTCTTTCCTGCATTTTACTTAGAGTTCATGCCCCAATTTCTGTGTCACAAAAACTGACTCCCCATATCACCAAAATCGCTTCTCATTTCTGGGACAATTGTTTAGTAGCCGTAGTAGAAAGCTAGGAAAACTAATCCATGAGAGAGATCGTTGTGAAGCTCATTGAAGTTGGTCTCCCGCAGGAGGCCTCGAAGTGTGATATCGTAGGATATGGTAATAACTCTACGTACTCCACAGTCCATTTCTGGAACGTGTGGAAACTTCAGCTAGTTGCTGTCTAGTAGCGTGGAAGCTTTCCACACAGGCTAAATATCTAGAGCGATGTTTCATCGACAACCTAGTATGACTAGCAGTCATGAGAACCCTGTCTCAATGACTATTCGCGAGGGACTACGTCACGAGTCGAAGTCAAACCCTATCTAGGATCGAGTCGCGAAGAAGGCTAAGAGCCGTGTATTGCATTCGCCCCCTGACAAGGGTCACAGAAGGCACGACATCAGTCGGACAAGGAGAACATATGAATTAAAGTGCGGGGCACTCTCCGGAGATTGGATGTAGACATGTGCGTCGCACGATGGCAATCCTACAAGGGGATCAGGCCTTGTATGGGTGTAAATACCTTATGTTCCAAGTCTGGTAGACTGTGCCGCCATTAGCGGTAGCGTGTCGGAGCCGTACAGTGCCATTGTCATTGACTCGGTCTATGTTGTAAGGACCTTTGTACTTTGGCTGACCGTACTTGCGGTGCTGATACTGTTGAATCATCACAGTATCGTTGACATTGTATTGATGAGGGACATGCGTCGCGTTTTCCCTATCATTGTTTTGTTGGATAAGTTGTTGACGACGTTCCTTGATGTATTTCCAGTTTGCACGGACGTTGTGAATCGCATCACGATTGAACACGAGCTGTGCAGGCGTTGCACGCAAGGTGGTATGAATCGTGGCATTCATTGCGAACCGAACCGCCGTGAGGACTCCATCCCAGGATCCATTCACGAGGTCGTCTTGACACTTGATATTCTGAACAGCTATCAAGTTACGAATGGTCTGATGAGCACGCTCGACCATCGAGTTGGCTTGAGGGTTATATGTGGTGATGAACTTGCGGCGAAGTCAATATTCATCCCGGAGAGTCTTCTCGACCTCTGCGCGGAACTCACGTCCTCTATCCATGATAACCTCAGCAGGCCATGGATACCGAGTAAGCCACGTCTGTTCTAGACCAATGGCTACTTCGTCTGCTGCCTTGGAGCAGATCTCAGCAATCTCGAACCATCCGGTTACGGGATCGATCATTGTCAGGCAATGAAGTGTACAGGAATTCTTTTTCTTAGGATCCCCGACGTTGTATGGACCTATCAGGCCAATGCATAGTCTTTCCCAAGGGATCTCCTCGCAAGTCTTTGTAGGAAGCAATCCCAGCTTACGCGTCTTGGGTTTGTTCAGTTGGCAGCTTTGGCAACGCTGACATACGGACTGCACAGTCTTGCGCAACCCTTTCCAGGTGTAGTGTTGACTGATGGTAAGTTCCGTGTGAGTCTCACCAGGATGCATCAGTACACCATGATACCATTCGACCAGCTTCTTCTGCATGGTCTTAGGCACAACAATCTTGTCCTCCTTGACTACTAGTTCATAGGACTTGTCCCCTCTGGGAAAAGATTGTTTCTTGTAGTCGTTTGGCTTATCCCTGAGGAGTTTCTTGATATCGTTATCGTCCTTCTGGCGATGTTCGATCTCGGGGAACGAGAGAGGGAAGTCACTAGGGAAGTCCTCTTCGTCTGCAGCCATGAGCTCAGCAATCTCGCTGGCTTCCATTTGTTCTGAAGAACCATCATTGTTCGAGATGTTAAGTCTCGACAAAGCATCAGCGACGATGTTGTGTTCGCCCTTGATGTACCGAAGTTCAGGGCCGTATTCTTCCAGAATAAGGCGCCATCGCATAACACGATCGGTATTGAAATTCTTGCAGGTGAGATTCTTGTGGTCCGTATGTACTACAATCTTCTGCCCGAGAAGAATGTTACGGAACTCCTTGAGAGTCTCAACGATACTGAGAAGTTCCTTCTCGGTTACCGTGTAGCGTGTTTGAGCGGGATTAAGTTTCCTGCTGTAGAACGCAATAGGCTCCCTTCTGGGAAATCACTGCACCCAGTTGCGTATCACTTGCATCCATGTGGATAACGAATGTATCGTTGAAGTCAGGGTAAGCGAGCAAGGTTTCTTTGCTGATGATTTTCTTCATCTGGCGAAAGGCCTTGTCGTGTTCAGCTTCCCATTTCCACTTCTTGGTTTTGGAAGTAAGTGTAGCGAGTGGTGCTAGTACATGTGATCGTCTGATCCACCTGTCTCGATAGTAGTTCACTAGTCCAATGAATCTACGGAGTTCCTTCCTATTCGTAGGAGGAGCAATATTCTGGATCGCATCTATTTTCTTGGTTACGGGTTGGATTCCTTCTCGAGTAATCCAGTAGCCTATGTACTCAAGTTCTCCTCTTGCGAAGATGGACTTGGTAGCATTGATCTTAAGTCCGGCTTCTCGAAGCCTTCGGAGAACTTCATCTAACTTTTCAACGTGATCTGCTAGATAGTCGTTAGTTAGGATGAGTAGATCATCTATGTATGCACGGACGTATTCCAAGTCGTGCATGAGTGTTCCCATCTTCTCTTGGAAGATGTCGGGACTATTGCATAGGCCCATTGGCAATCTCTGGTACTTGTATTTTCCCCATGGAAGAACAATAGTACAGAGTTGTTTCGAGTGAGGTGACAGCTCGATGTGATAGTATCCCATGTTCAAGTCGAGACTAGTAGCGTACTTGAATCCAACTAGATTCAATAGCATGTCT